ATGTTTCTTGAATCAACCTATAGTATTGCCAAATACTGTTAATAATGTTTTAGGCATAAACAGATATGTGCTTTATTCTCAAACTCAATCTTGTTTATTCAATTGGTCACTAGATAATTTCTTTTGCAAGAGAGAGGTATTTGATTTCCCTTACTCTTGCTCCTGGGAATAAAGAAATGCAGTCAGGAGTAAATTGCTCTGCAATGGCTACATCTGTATAAGCTTAAATTGCTTTTATTGTTGAGTGGAAGGAGGCAGAGTAAAGCTTCCTGACCCACAAGAATGAGGAACAACAGGCTGAACCATGAAACTCGTGTACATCTTCACTTCCTTACACAGCTTCCTCCCACGTTCCGTCTCCCAACCTCACACTCCACCTCTGTCACAGTGCATTAGGCTTGTATATTCATCTCTCACCCTCTGCCATGTTTTCTTTCATGCTGTAAACTGTTGTGGCTCTGGAAGGGATGCAAACATATATTTTATAAAAAAAAAAACAGGTCTTTCTATCTCTTTTTCATACTGTTTTCACCTGGCAACCTCACCCACACTCCATCCAGCCGCAACCCATCTCACCCTTCACCCTCTAGTTGTTTCCTGATTGGAATTTTAAAGCCAAGGCTAAGTCAGTGTAGATCTATGGGCCAGCCTGCCATATATACTGACCAATTCCAGGGCTTCAACAACTTGTGTGTGTGTGTCTGTGCATGTGTGTGCCATGCATATTTGTGTGTGTGCTAGTAGTACACAGGTGTGCATTTGTGGGTTAAGCGAGGGCTTTGTTCCTCTTAGGCAAGTGGGTCTCTATGTACTGCAATATTTCTGTGCAGCATTTGTGGTTGCACGCCTGTGTATGTTTTATATCTGTCTGGTTACGGCACATCAGGCTAGAAAATACACAGACACACACACATGAATATACATACTTGCACTGGTCTCTGAATTAATTTAGAAAATTGTCCTTTATATTCTTAGATGCATACAAATTGGAAGCGTGTATGCAAGTGCATCACTGTAATGAAAATGATTTATAATGAAGATTATCTGGATTAGGATTACATGTAATATTTTTAAATTGAGAATGAGGTTAGGGATACTCTCTCACATCATAATTACTATTAGAGTGCATGAATATTAAAAAGGGATTGTCATTTTGATTTTATTTCAGAAATTAAATAGCAAAACAAATGTAGAAGTAAATGAAATTTCTATTATATTTTTATGAAAGCACACTGGTGTTTCACAGTGAGAGCAACTAATGTGCTTCTCATGATATGTCAATCTCACTGAGGCTCAAGGAAAATCTAAATGGCAACATTTACACTGATTGCAATATTAATACAATGCTTCAGAAAGTATTAAAGAAGTAGCATTTCTTGATGACACAAAATAAAATCAACAGTGTCACCTTATTGCATTGTAATTTAACAGAAGATAACATCTAGATAACCAACACACTGTACTGTATGGATAGATAGATAGATAGATAGATAGATAGATAGATAGATAGATAGATAGATAGATAGATAGATAGATAGATAGATAGATAGATAGATAGATAGAGATCTACTGAGAAAACTTGAGGTAGGAGAGGTTCACTTGTTATGATGTTTAAAAAACAACAAATCTATGCAGCACAACGTAATTGAAGCAAAATTGGTAGCACTGGTTATTTTAACAGCATGGAAATCTTTTAAAAGCTAAATTGGGCATAAAGTGGACAAGAAGGACAGCACAATTTACTTTTTCCGTTTTTATGTTAATGCATATTTTAAATGGCTATCATTGTAGAGCACCAGTTGCAGTAGTGTTACAGTATGCCCATAAGTTTTCAGTTCTTTTGTTTTAAGAAGATTTGAAAACATTAAGTGATCTAGAAGTTCCTGTTTGCTTTAAACATCCACCACTCTTTTGTGTTTGCAGTTGATTGTGCAGTGAAGTGGAAATGAATAGCTTAATGGCTGCAGGGTGACTCAGAGTTTATTCAAAGAGCTAGATAGTGAGTACTCTGCCTGTTTTCATCATCAGGCAGGGGGTCTCATGCAGCATATGGAGCAGCAAGCCCAACCCTGACCTTGGTAAATGTACAGCTGGACAGACTGGTCATTTTAGTGTGTTTAATGGGGGGAATGTTTCCATGTTTTTGGTGTGTACCTTTTATATGTTTGCAAATGTGTGGTTTTGGTAACAGTTTGCCGAGCTTCTCTGATTAGAAATGACTATCAGTGACACTGGCAATCTGTCACTAACAAGCTTAATTTCTCACAGGTTGTGTTTTATGCACTGAGTCAGGTTCTTATACCACCTCTGTAGCATAAAATGATGTCTTTGTTTATGCTTCATTGCACCGTTGCTTCTCAGTTTGACACCTAGCTTCTTATTTCTCACCATCAGTAATGGTTTCCAAATGAGATGTGAAGGATAGGCAAATTAAATAATGCTGTCGGCTGTAGGTTTATTTTTCTTTCTCATGAGCACTCTATTGAGAACGCATGTCGGTCACTGGAGACCGTTATCTGACAGTATGTCTCCATTAACCCCTGTAGACTCTGCTACAGAGAGAAGAAATACATATCCATAACATGATGTTTTTTTATACTGTCCATCTTTAAACTGATTCACCATGCCTGTTAGAGGTGTGAAAATGGATTTAAAGGGCCTAATCTAAATGCCATATTTTTGCCTAACACATATGCCAAATTTTCTGTGAAAAATAACTAGATAGAGACTATTTGTAGATATTATATTAACATCTGTGAATTCAGTGTGGTTTTATACAGTGGTTTTGTGTGCGGTCAGTTTCATATGTCAATTCCGTATTGAATATGATGCACATTTTGTAATATTTGTTTGTATCAAACTACACTTACTAAAACTGACTAACATGTTTAAATGATGATCAATCTTATCCTTGAAAAATGGATTTTGCACTTGCTGTCTGTCTGTGCTCTTTTTAATTTGCTTGTAATGATGTACTTTTTGCTGTGTATGGTTTTTGGTAGTTTGTCTGACTAAAGGACTCAAGGTCCTATTTAACATCTTGCTTAGCTTTCCAAGGACCCATATTTGTTTACTGTACCAGTCATAGATTTAAGTCACTGTCCAAGATATAAAATGCAGAATAGTGTATTCTTGTTTATTGTATGAGCTTTCATCAAAACACAAGATAAACGTCAGCACTCTCTGCAACTCTCAACAAACTCAATTTTGTATGCCCCACCCACCCACCCCCATCACATCTTGTGTGCCAGTTATCCTACTCTCCAAAGTGTTACAAATAAAAGATTAAAACACAGTATTTTGCCATGTTTTACACAGCTCACACCAAGTTCCACAGGAAAATTGGATGTGTGTGTACCATACACTGTGTGCATAAGTCTGAAGTGTGTGTTTGCACATATGCGTGCATGTCGGAGTCGTGAATAGAATCAGAATGCGACTGGGAACCAGTTTGTCCTGCAGAACCATGACATTATCATGACACCATTTACATTACACCAACCAACACCCACCTCAGTTATGCTCTATTATCCAAGGTGTGACCACTTCTTCAAACCACACAAAGTAAATACTGCAGATTTGTTCTGCTTTGATTTTCTTGGCCGTGTGACTGCAGCGTCTCATATTTGTAGGAGGGTGCACCGCTGTTTGTTGAATCCAGTTTGTCAGGATCATCACTGTCAGACTTCGCTATGTGGGGAGGGACGTGTAATTACATAGTATCTGACAGGGTTGTGTTTTATGCATTGTAATACACTGTACCATACGTGGTCTGTTTGGATAATTGTGGTTTCACTGAGTTTTTCATAAATACTGAAGCAAAGTAGATATCTCTATAACTCCCGGTAGTCAAGCTATTAGGGTTGTTCTTATCGATTTACAATAGTACAAATTAAACCCAACAAGATTATTTAATGACTCTAACTGGTTCATCAATTAATCGTGCCTAAAGATGTTTCAGCTAATACAAGAAAGGACACAGTGGTCTATATACAAACCACAACCTAATTATACTAATGTTAAGAAAGTGACATTTAAAAATTAATAAAGCATTCTCTCACAGGGCAGTTTCCTCTCTCTATCTAAATTCGATGCTGCATGTTTTTTGGGGGGTTTTTGCCACAAAGAATCTAAACGCAAAACTTACGTTGAGCCATGAGTCATGCATTCATTTTATAATGTTGTGTATACAAACCCCACAAATGGTAATTAGGTAAAGGTTTCAATTGAGAGTAGCAGGAAATCTAAATATTTAAACAACTTTTCTGTTGATAAATGAGGCTATATGAGCTAGTTTCAAGGTGAAAACTACAGGTGCTGCGGTGTAGTTGTACATCAGACTTCCATAGCAATGAAAGGAAGTAAGCAACTTTACTGTGTCGTTCCAGAAATATAATAGAAGAATGGGTCAGCAGTGCATTATAGAACTGGTTTTGCTTGTATATATTTATATAGCGACCCATGCAAATGGGAAGGGAGGGCCCACTTCCTCTGCAGGGCAGAGTCTCAATTTTCTAGTCAGTGAGTGTTTGTACGCTTTTGTGTCTTCCACAAATAGTCTTGACTTTACTCCAGATTCTCTCCTTTCTTACAGTGTCATCTTTTACACTTCTCTTTTATCCATGCTTTTTTATTTTTCTTGGCTCTAGTTCCCTGTGCCTGTCCTCTCTGCCCTCACTGGTTCTCTAGTTCCCTTTCTGCTGATGTTTGCACGAAGGAGCGGAGAAAAAATATACTGTAACAATGAGGGTCTGCTGTGCACATAAGGGAATCAGTCATACTTGAATGCAAAATAATTACTCCTATTGCACAGAGATTAAAGATGCACTTGCCAGAGTGCCTAATGGAGGTTTTAGTCATTCAAGCACTCACTGTATGTTCAGCTCTCTCTTTCCCCTCTCACTCTGGCCTTAAAAAACTGTTTTCTTAGTCAAGCTGAAAATGATCCTTAAGTGCTGTCGTACTGATGTTAACTGACCTCTGAACTTTTATCTTCTCAGGTACTGAACCCTGCCTGCTCTGACACTGTGACTCCAGACAGACATAGTGGCTGACAGACACTGAAAAAGAAGTGGGCAGATCAACAGATAGGGAGGACAGAGGGAGGTGAGTGAAATGAATAACGGAATCCTTCCTTATCTCCGTCTAAATATCTCTGTATAGTATCTTGCGCTCTGTCTGCGCTCTGAACATGAAGGTCTGCTGAAGGATTGGTGGCTTATTGTTTACAGAGTGGCAAAATCAGACAGAAAACAAGAGAAGCCCTGTAGCAGAGATGGCTTGGTTTACCACCCCTGCTGAGCCCAAGACTGTGGGTTTGTCTGTGTGTGTGTGTGTGTGTGTGTGTGTGTGTGTGTGTGTGTGTGTGTGTGTGTGTGTGTGTGTGTTTTGTGTTATTTGTTTTGTGTTTGTGTGTGTGTTTGTGTGTTTTTTTTTATGTGTGTGTGTGTGTGTGTGTGTGTGTGTGTGTGTGTGTGTTTGTTCATGTGCATTTCCCATATCCAGTCTGAGTTCATGTGGAATTCTGTACTTTGTGCTAAATTTTCCCAAGAAAACCATCAAGCCAGAGATATTTTTTGTTGAGAGTTACAGATGTCAGAGGAGTCAGATGTTTAGAGCCATTTTCAGACATATGTGTAGCAAGTGTATGTCTACTGAGAAAAAAAAGAGAATACCAATACACATCTGTCTTTTTTCCTATATGTTAACAGCACACCATCAATGTTCAAATGTTGGCAGAAAAGCTTTTTGTGTCAAAAAAATCACGTTTGATCTTTCATGTTATATACAGTGAACAGAAAAGTTGCCACAATATGACATAATTTTACATTTGATGTCTCAAACTATGGAAGAATAATTAGAAGTTGTGAAGAGTTTCACATTTTCACTAAGAATCAACTCATCAATCTTGATCAGCAAGCCATGTGCATTTTGCTTGAATGAATGGGACATTAAAATCTATTGTGAACAACAAATTACTTTGTTCAGAGATTTTAACTTATTGTTTTGAAAGAAATAATTCTCATTCAAGAAATTAGCCAAAGCAGGGCACCCTGGTAGCTCACTTGGTAGAGCTGGCACCATGTGTACCAAGGCTGAGACACTTTGCTGCATGTCACCCCCTCTCTCTCACCCCTTCCCTGTCTATTTTGAGCTGTCCTATCAATAAAAGCAAAAATATATTTGAAAAAAAAGAAATAATTGAGCCAAAGCCAATGAGAAACACTGTACACGCTGAGGATGCTTTTAGGTTAGACACATTTGTTTGATCACAGTTGGTTAGGGGATGTGGTCCGAGTGGCTGCAGAGTTCACTCACTGCTTTGGTAAACTGCCTACTTATGTATGTAAAGTAGCTTTTATGCAATTCACCCTGTGGCCTTACCCACTATCATCTCTGTGGGAGTGTTTTGGGGTCTGCGTGTGTGTGTTTATGTGTAAATAATTGATTGCTGTAGAGGTTTTAGTGGATCGCTGGTGAGACTGAACCAGGCAGAAAATGCTGCTCCACTGCTCTGCTCCACCGTGTGCATAACTTAACTATAACATGTCCGCTGCTGCTTGCCGCTCAGTGGGCTCTCTGTGTTGTCTGAGGTGGCTTGTTGGTGTTAAGTCAGTTTGGTTTCTATTAGTGCTGCAGAAAGGATTAGTCGATGAATCACAGAATCACAGAAAATCCATACAAACATTAATTGACAACAACTTTGATGAGATATTAGTATAATTGCTGCTTCTCTCTGTTCTATATCACTATAAATTGAAGATGTCACTTTGAAGTCTGGTAAACTGTGATATGCATTTTTCACAATTTCTAAACAGATTTTAGAGGAAAATTGATTAAATTAATCGAATTGATAGTGACATGGTTTGTATTGTGTTCAACAGGTTCAGGGTAATAACCTGGTTACCTCGCATACTGTATATTGTTGTGTTTTACCAACAACTGCCCCCCTGCTTTCCATCTCCCCTCTCTTTTTTCACACTTTTCTCATCTGCTGCCTCCTCCACTCTCATTTCTTTCTGTTTTCTTTCCCTATTTCTTTATCTTGCTCAGCCTCCCATCACTAAACATCTTTATTTCTTTCTGCCTCCTTCTTGCTCCTCGTGCCTGTGTGTCATTCCTTCTCTCTTTTCTTGCCCCTTAGCCGCAGTGTCCTTGAGAAAGCAGTGACTTTGCCGGTGAGCGCAGCAGAGCGCATCACTCTCTCTCTCTTTTGCTCACATGCTCTCTCACTGACACTCACTCAACCCCCCCAAATGCAAACACACACACACACACACACACACACACACACACACACACACACACACACACACACACACATTTAGTTGGTCCATAGTAACACTGTCAAGCAGAACCAGTCCTTACAAGTCTCTTCCCTTTAGTCTCCATAAATAATTCATCACCAGTAACATTGGCTGTACTTTATGCAAATATTGACAAACATATTGCAGAGAAATTTTGAGACAGTCGTTTTGAGCACAATTTCTGCCCACATTCATGAAACATATATAAATCGTCAGCAAACTGCTGATACAAGCAAAAATATCTCAAAGTCATGGCACAATATAATCGGTTGTTTTCAAAGCATCTGAAAGAGAGTTATGTGATAGATAGTTTGCTTGATTAATGCTTGTGGCTGCTGATCAATCAGACCCCACGATGACATGCTGTGTAAAATAAAAGACGGCACTGTGTCCATTAGAGGAGCTAGATGTAAGAATCGTCCACCGCCCTCAAATTCATATTCCAAACCTATTGGAGGCGGCATATCACCAGAAAGTTTGGACGTCCACATCATCATCACCACAGCATCGCTATTTCTTCATCCTCTCATGTTGGAGTGAGGGCAGAATGGATGCTACAGTGACTCACTATCGCCTCTTGAGGTACATAGTGGTATTACGAGATAGGATGGGCCAGGGCTAGCTGGTTAGCAGGCTAACCTCAGAAGATATCTCTACAACATAATTCATAGATGTTTTTGAAATAGTATCAAAGCTGTTATTTCTTCACATTCTGTTGATAATTTTAGTACTTACTTATTTTGCAGTGTTTTAAGCTAACATTCGTACATATAGCTCATTTAAAAAGACAAACTACAAATCAGGGTTTCGGTTAAACTCGCTTAAATTCTGAGACATTTAAGAAAACTGGAATTAATGCAAAGTGCAATTACTTTTCCTCAAGGTTTGTTACCGAATTCAGACAAATTGCCCTCAGGTGATACTGTACTTAGCCTGCCAGCAAGGAAACATGATCTCTATGTGCCCTGCTTCTCATTAAAGGTGCCCTCCACTAATCTTGGTTCATGAAGGCCCATTGTCACAGTTTTCCGTAGCTTTTGAAATATAGATGGAGTCTGATTGTCTGGTTGTAAGATGAGATGTTATAGTCTCTTGATGCTGTTTGTTCTCATTGGTCTCTGTTTTCCATTAGAGTCCATAGAGTGCGTATTGGGTCACTGCTTTTTCCTGCCGCCTTACGTGTTTTCTGTTGGAGATCAAGTGTCTTGTGGTTACCAAGCTGCACTTCTGTACATGGCAGATGTGTTTTTGTTATTGCATCCTGAATGGTTAGCACATATGGCAGTCAGGTTGAAATTAAACATACACTGATAAATTATAATGTACAATACTTTGCAATCATTTCTATTCTAGTCTTATTTTTTTTTTAATTTAAGTACTGTTTAATTTTCTATCTACATTACATCTACATCTATCTACACTTCATGGCAGCATTTCAGTGCAGCCATGTTATTTCTCTCTCTGACTGTCTCTCTGTGCGTATCTCTCTCACTCTTCCTTATGTTTGTCCCACGTTCAGCTGAAAATGCTTCCGTAGCCATGGCGACCAATCCCAAGGGGAAAAGTTGAGGCTTTTCTCACTCGTCTTCTCCTCCTTTGTCTCAAGCTTTGTTGCAATCTAATGTTTTCCTTGCACACAAACACAGCCGCATAAACACTAGCATGCCAGAATCTAAAAGCGGAGGAGATGGAGTTTGTGAGTCACAATGTTCTGGTTTAAGTTTAATTAAGCGCTGATGTAAAATAAGTGACCTAATTGCTGAGAAACACTAAACCTGGGGACAGAGTTGGTGATTTTTCTTTTTGTCTGTTTTCTACAGTTTTCTTGCTTGTTAGTGGCCATGAGTGTTACAATTGAACCTTGGAAAAACACACACAAAAGAGGAGGGAGGCTATTGAAAAAGAAGGAAGATGAAGAGAGGAGGCAGAGTAATTTCATAAAAAGCTTGTGCTTGAAAAAGTACTGATAAACAGAGTGAGCTGTCAGATGTCAGCTGCAGAAGGGTGTTATCACACATATGTGTATGTAGCATGTGGGTCACTATGAGGTGTTTGTATGTTTCTGGGCGTGTGTGCTTTCTATAATATGCGTAATCACATATTTTTTTATAACTGATCCTTATTGATTCGCAGCTTAGCGCGTAAAAATGTGTTTTTGAGCTATTTGATTTGTTTATTGAAAAAAAATTAATGAATATATTTCAAATGTAGGAATCTCAGCTTTAAAATAATTGGAATTAGTCTTTAATCTGTAAATTAATTAATTAAATGTGTTGCCTCAGTCAAGACACAGTCATTCATAATAAGTAGTTATTAATTATTGAGGAGTCCTGTTTCTGTGGCTAGGTAAAGTTTGTTGAATGAATCATTTCAGCCATGGCTTCCCAAGCTCTTCTCGTCTCCCTTCACTTCTCTTCATCCCTCCTTTCTATTCTTACCCTCTGTTCCCTTCACATCCTTTCCCTTGTTCCTTCATCCCCCTGCCTCTCCTGCCTTCCTTCCTGTCCCCACCTCTTAGTTTCTTCTGCTATTCTTCCTTCGCAGTTCTTGTTCTTCACTATTCCAATATTTTTCCTCCCTCGTTCTCTTTCTTGAGCCATGAACGTCCATCTTATGGCTCAATTTTTCTTCTCTAAATTCGTCACATTTAAATCTTTTCTCTCACCCCAAACACACGTTATATTGCACTTCTCTTTTCACCCTCTCTTTACCACATACTGTAAACTTTTCCTACCTCCTTCAATCTGTTCATTTCTACCCTTATTTTTGTTTCTAACCTCCCTTACGCCTTTTCTCCCT